AGTCTCACTCTCTTGCCTGGGCTAGAGTGCCGTGGCGTCAGCCTAGCTCACAGCAACCTCAAACTCCTGGGCTCAAGCGATCCTCTTGCCTCAGCCTCCCGAGTAGCTGGGACTACAGGCATGTGCCACCATGCCCGGCAAATTTTTTCTATATATATATTTTTTATTAGTTGTCCAGATAATTTCTTTCTATTTTTTTAGTAGAGACGGGGTCTCACTCTTGCTTAGGCTGGTCTCGAACTCCTGACCTTGAGCGATCCACCCGCCTCGGCCTCCCAGAGTGCTAGAATTACAGGCGTGAGCCACCGCGCCCGGCCGAAAATGGTGTTTTAAATTGAGAAGATGAATGGAAAACTTTAAGAACAAATTTAATAAATCAGAAAGCAGTTAAGGCTTGTACCAAACAAAAAACAAAACACCCCTTCAAGAAACCCCCAAACCAAAAAACCTAAATTAACAACAAAAAAAAAAGCAATACCAAAAAAGGTACTCTAGCCAAGCCAAAGGCATTTTCCATTCTGCTTTTCCATAAATAAGAAGTTTAAAAAAATTATTTTAACCAGTGAGTCATATAGAATGGAAATAGCTGAACATGCAGGTCACATGTAAGCTCTGGAAACTTACTTCAGTTTTTCCTCTTCACTCAATGTCTTCCACAGTTCTTCAATTTGTACTGTTGCATCCTCTAAACTGGTCTTAGGATTTTCTGTGAGAAATTTAGCACGATAATCTTGAACAAAAAGGGTACTCGCCGACATGGGTTTCTTGATTATTTTATTGCTAATTAAATCATAAGCTGTAAGTTGTCCAGATTTGTTATCTATTACATTTGATTTTTTGTTACAGGGACCTTCACTGAGATTCTTTTGTTCAGGGCTTGGATGATTATTATTACTTACTTTACATGCTAAACTTTTTTGAGGCCCTAAAATTTTCACAGGTTCAATATTCTCTCCCATTGAATTTTTAAGTACATTTCCCTTGCTCCAATCATCTGCACATATTTCCAAAGACTTTTCAAGAAATCCTGCTTCCTCATTTTCCCTGCTTTCATCTAAATCGTCTTTAATGCCATTTTTTGATTGTGTGTGCTTAACAGAATCTACAGTACAAGTTTCACTATGTTCCCTTTGGGCGCTCTCCCATGATAAATCACTTGTTGAAATTTCTTGAGATGTATTTCTAGTATTCTTATCAATACTAGAATTTTCACTATTAATATCACTATCACAATGGTCACCAACACTTATCTGGTGATTTAAATAATCATCAGTGTTTTTTCCAGATTCATCATTATGCACATCATTTTGGAAGGGAATGGCTGAAGTATCAACATTTGGATAATTATTTCCAGATGATTCCATTTTATTAAAAAGCACATCTGTTTCTGCTGTTTTACTACAAACGATGTCAGCTGAGGAAACATCTGTTTTATTATTTTCACAAGAATTTGTACTAGGTAGTGGTCCATAACAAGTTGTCATCAGGTTTTCAAGAGCAATTAAAACAGATTCCTAAAAATACAAATTAACAAATGTTAGGGGAAATTATGAAAATAATAGGCAAGATTTAAAATAATAATAAAAAAA